CATTTCAGCAAACCTCAAATAAGAGATCTGATGTGTATTCATCGCCATTGTCAGATCTGAGCTTCTTGATCTTCCTGCCTGTCTAGGTCTCAATCATTTTCTTCCATGTAAGAAAGATGTCTAATACTTTATCTTTATATTTCATTGTGTAAACCCATACTCTTCTTGAGAAATCATCAATGAACGACACAAAATAGTGTTTACCTTCCAATGAAGCATTCTTGGAAAGACCCCATACATCGGTGTGAACATAGTCTAGAATCTCTTTGGTACGATGAATAGTAGTACCAAACTTGATTCTTGTTTGCTTGCCCAGTACACAATGCTCGCAGAACTCAAGTTTCCCTATTTTGGAGCCTTTCAACAGGCCTTGCTTTACCAACCCTTGTAAAGCCTTTTCTCCAGTATGCCCTAAACGCATGTGCCAAAGTCTGGAAATGTCTGATGCATCATCTTCTGAGCTGGTAGAGACAACCACACTCCCTGTGACTGTAGAGCCGTCTAGGAAATATAAATTTCCCTTTCTAGTACCCTTCATTGCAATAAATGTTCCTCGAATAACTTTAAGGACTCCACCTTCCATAGTTACTCTGTAACCTTTGGAGTCTAAAACTCCCACTGAGATGAGATTCTTCGTCAAATCTAGTACATACCGGACATCTTCAAGAATTCTGATTGTTCCATCATGCATCTTTAGTCGAATTATTCCAATCCCCTTTGTTCGGCAAGCTTGGTCGTTGCCCATCAGTACAACTCCTCCATCGAACTCTCGTAAGCTCGAGAACCACTACTTGTTAGGACACATATGGTAGGAACATCCGGAATCTAGAATCCATTCATCAGACTGGCCATATGATGAAACTGTGAAAGCTAATCCTTCACTATTATCTCCACCTTGTGCAACGTTCACCTTTTCCTCTTTCTTGTCTTTATTGGGACAATCTTTTGCCCAATGCTCCTTCTAGCGACAAGCAGCACACTCGTCTTTTGCAAGACGTCTTTTATCTAACAATCTCCCTTTGGTCAAATAAGGAATCTCATCGTTAATGATCAGTGAGTGGTAATGTGATTGTGATTTGGATCTAAAAGTTCTGTCTTGGCGATGTTTGCGATTGTATCCCCAACCACCATGTTCCAAAATACTACCCAATTGATATTTGTTTGTTTTACTTTGAAATTCATAAGCATATCATAGATTCATAGCATAAATGGAATTGAATAATCAGTAAAATTCATTAATGCATGAGTGGCATGACACACTCTTACCTTCACTAGGAAAGACCAGCACCAGCATCATTTTTTCCCTATTGTATTCAATTTGTCGATCTATCACTGTTTGGCCAATATAATTGTTTGATAATTACCATCAAACAAATTTGACTATTTGGGATTTGTTGGATTTTTGAAATTTTAAGTAGTCTAGAATAATTTGCAAATAATGTTACCAACTTACCCTTATTATATTTTTTTACTATATTTTGTTTTCCACTTGATGTATTACATTGACATTGGAGCAAAGAGAGAACAAAATTGAATGGTTGGAAAGTAGACAATCATGATGCTAAGGGTAGGCCTGTGTTGTGTTTTTTAGTTAAAATAATTTGTGATGAGCTGCTGGGGTGGGGACTTATTGGTGGGAGGGAAACATTGCACAAACGTTGCTGACATGAAAAATCTAAATAATTCCCGAGATATTGATTTGTAATTATATTTTAATTTTAAATAGTAAATACCAATCTCAATCAAAACAATCAAGAACAAATCGAAAAAATGATTTAACGTGAAAAAAATCACAATTGGAGCGCCTCCAATTGTGATAAAAAAACCATAGGGCAAAACCATAAAACAATTCACTAAGAAAACAAAAATATGAATTACACAAAACTACTCTCAATTACTTAGCGAATTGAACCAAATCTGACGTGCCTTTTCCAACACCGTCTTCACCACAGAACTGCTTTGTCCAACGTTGAATCCACAACAATGATGTCGAATCCACGATGATGAACCACTCCGAAATCTACCAAAGCTTCAGGCCCCCAAGTTCTTTAGAATCCACCAAAAAACACCTCTCTCTTTTGCGGACGTAACCGTAAAATCAACCCCTTGAATGAAGTCAATATGAAGCTCGTAGATTCATTGATCACTCTCAAATCAACCCCTTGAATGAAGTCAATATGAAGCTCGTAGATTCATTGATCACTCTCAAATCATCAAAGAAACACTTACAAAACACCCTCCAATATGTGTGCTGCTATTAACACCCCATCAATTATTTTGGACCCCTCATTTCTTTGGACCCCCACTTATAAATTTTAAAACCATTAAAATTCCTTTTCTCCCCCCAAATAATACCAAAATTGTCCTTGTGAAAATTTTCACCCATTCAATTGAATGCACACCCCCACAATACAAAAAGCCTCTCTCCTAAAAATCTTAACAAAACACACGAAGGTAATTACTACTTCATCTCCGCATACTTGTTCATGACTTGAGAAAATAAATCTAGGATTTTTTATTATTGATTCAAAATTCCCATTTCGTGGGTTCTACGATCTCCACGAGTTTCGGTTATCTATTCCCGAACAAATAAGAAATGTTTAGTTACCTATTCTCAAACAAATGAACAATGTTCGAGCCTATGTTCCCGAATTTCAGTCATATGTTCAGGAGTTTAGTCTCGAAAAAATGACGAACAGTTTTTATTATTTTTATCATTTTTTTCAAGAAACTTACCCTTATAAGGCCAATCTTCTCTGAGTAAAGAACACCATCAAAGTTATGAACCTTCTCTGAGCTTTTATTGTAGTACTCCTCTCGTCTCATGAAGTTGTGGTTGCTAAAAAAACTTCCACTCATTGTCATTGCCAGAAAAAGTGTAGGTAATCAAATGGTTACCATTGTTACCGTCGAAATATTGCCGCCAAAGGGTTTTCAAGGTTTTGAAAGTAGGTAGATTTTGAAGGTGGGATTGGGGGAAGATTGATGGATGGTGATGGAGGTGGATACTCTTATAAAACCCTAACTCATGATGTAGTAAGTGTGTGGGCTTAATTGTGAGATGAGATGTACCAAAATTATTAATATCCTTTTCAGTAATTTCATTTGAGGTTATTATTGTAATAAAAAAAATTAAAAAAATAATTGAAAAACTAAAAATCTAGAGGATCTAAAATAATTGATAGGGTGTTAATAGCAGCACTCCTCCAATATACGACACTTTGGTTTTTTTTTTCCTCTAAAAGTCTGGACGGGATAAACCCTAAAAACTGCAAACAGCGCACTTTATAATAAACAGGATCTCAAAGACCGCTCGAGCGGTCAAATAACTTTGGCTTTGGAGGCGCTGCCCCTCAACTTTGCCTAGGCGTTGCCTCGGACCCGTCATGGGGTGCTGTCGCCTAAACCCCTGCGAGCTGACCGGGCAGCTCGATCCCTGTACATAATCAACGAAGTGGCAAATATGAAATGTTCAAGATCACAAACTTTTCTACATGGGTACAATTCGGATTGAATTTGTATCTAAACACTCAGATCTTCACTAAAACAAAGAACGAATAAAATTATAATTAAAATGAGTTTTGTCAAATGGAATTACTAATTATAAAAACCTAACATGATATATATATATATATATGTGTGTGTGATTTTGATTTTGATTTTGATGATCTGTTTATGATTTGGATCAAATGCTCTCTCTCTACATATAAAATGTCTTGTTAATAAGAGTCTTGAGACACAAAAAAAGACAAAAAAAATTTATAGAATACGAAATATTTTTTTATTAAATTTAATATATTTTTTAATATTTTCGTCTATTTTTAAGATATTTTAATCTTAATCCCAATATTAAACAACAGGTGAGGAGCACTCTCCCAACGTACATATGTTATATTATGTGGCCTGCAGGACAATTATTGCATAGACGAAATGAACCAGGATTAAAAGGGAGGGTCTTTTTGAGTAATGTTAGAAATTTTAAAAAAATTATTAAAAATTTTATCAAATATTTTACATGAATGTGGGGTCCACACGATATAGGTCTCATGTAAGTCTCACATCTATGTGAGACATTTGGTAGAATTTTTATAATCTCTAACATTTTTTAACCTTTTTTCATCTTTGCATTGGTGGAACCACTCGTGTGTTGCACTAAATATCCACCCAAAAATTATAAGACATTTTGTATTTCACATGAATTATCCCTATCAAACTATTCGAGTGGATTCTATTTTAAATTCAAAAAATTTACCCTTTATGCCTAATTTAAAAGAGTAATTTAGTATACAAGACTTTGGTTAAAACGAGATTTAAAAAAAAAAAAAATGCACACATTTTTATTTTTAATTCTAGTGAGATTGTTTTCGTGACTCAAGGTTGCATTACTAAAACTTTTAATTCTAGTGAGGCTATTTCGTGACTCAAAATTGCACTACTAGAAACACTACCAACAAGTCTTACAGATAGGCTAAACCGCCATTTTCCTTCTATGGCATATCTGTTAGTTGAATATATATATATTACATAAAATTGATTAATTTGAATAATATTTTCCACTTTTTTTTTTTTTTTTTTTGTACAATAACATTTTCCTACTTGAAACAGTGATTTTGAGTGGAAGGAATTGGAGATGAATTGTGGAAAATGGTGGGAGGCAGACATTACATAAATACAGCTAAGATGGCAATTGGATCCAATACGTGATCATGTTAACACTTACTCACACAGCTAAAGAGATTTAGGTTCTATATGTCTCCTTCACTCAATATATTTTAAGAAAAATTATGAAGATTTTGAAATTTACAGTAAAGATGTAAACTTGCTGTGAATCACACTGAGTTTGAATCCGTTCGGTAATTTTTAAATTCCAGACAATTTTCTGGTAAGTTTTTTTAGGTATCTTCGATGATGAGATTACATGTTTGCTCTGTAATTTCACTGGCATTATCGGTTTAGAATGCCAGTGATGGTTTGCTCTGCAACAAATCACATTCAAGAGAGACCTGCAATGATATATTTATTTTGCATAGGTACAAAACAAACTTGTGTTAAATGCTAAAGATTACATGTTTCTCTATGAACACATTTGCAACCGAGAAGACAACTTCAATTCCCTACTCAAATTTTACAATCGTGGATGGATGTGTTAGATAATAAAAATAAAAATAAAATAAGAATAGGTGTGGTGAATTGCTTTATTCATGTTTACATAGGTTGATTCTCATGATAGTCCCCCACTCTTTTGCTTCTTCTCTTCAAGTCCAGCAGCTTCATTCAACATGTCAGCGGCATCCTGATGCATGTCTAGCTTGGCAAGGGCAACTGATTGCATGTAAAAGGCCACTGGCCAGTCAGGGTACACAATTTGTGCTTGCATTGCATCTCGAAGAGCAGCATCAGGCTGATCACATAGCAGATAACACAGGCTTCGCCGCGCATAAACAGTTGGGGAGACCATGGTTCCCACATTGATGAACTGCACACGCAACCAAAACAAAGGGAACCATAGAGAACATCACATCCCCAGTTGTAACAGCGGTTTGTTCATTCAAGAGTTGATTTTGTGCGGAGGGCTTCCAGCCCATTGGCACTTCCTCAACCCTCACGTATGAGAGGTTGGGGTTGGAGAGATTCATTAGTCTCTATATGTACCACTTGCCACCCATTGCAGGTTTGCCCGCCCCCTGCTTAGCGGCTCCCCTTCTCCACGCCACCCTTAAGAGTAGGCTACAGATATATAACATGCATTTTGGATTCTCAAAAAATAATAATATTAAATATAAGAGTTCAGTCTGTTAATCCCCTCAACAACAGTACATAAATATGTGTGTGCTAGGGAGGGAAGCGCCATGGCCAAGGGGAAAAAAAAAACAAAAAAACAAATGAAAAATAATTTTAAAAAAAAGATTGGCAATAGCAAACGTAACCATAAAGGAACTCCGGAGAGGAGAGAACTGTATCCTAACAATTTAGGAGCTAAGTATTCCAGTTTTGTAATTTAGGAAAATTACAACCGTAGCCTTGGAGTTTGCCTCGTGTCAATTTGGTCAAACTTAACCATCAAAGAACACAGGAGAGGAGAGAACAGTATCTTAACAATTTAGGAGCTAAGTATTTCAGTTTTGTAATTTGGGTGAATTACAACCATAGTCCTTGGAGTTTGGCTCCTGTCAATTTGATTCTTGTAGTTAATTACATCAATTTTACCCTTGAATTTTTCACATTACGACAAATTAGTCCAATTTATAACGCCCTTTGAGAAATTAGATTGAAACTAAGAGGCAAAATGGTCCATTCCCTCTCTTGAAACTAATTGAGGTGTTAGCATCCAATTTGAAATGATTCATTCCCTTTTGAATTAATCATTTTGCCCTTAATTTCTATCCAATTTCTTAAGGGATGTTATCAATTGGACTAAATTGGCACAATATCAAAAATTAAAAGGCAAAATCGATAAAAATAAAACTGTAGGGATCAAATTAGAACAAGAAGTAAATAACATGGACCACGTATATAATTTACCCTTGTAATTTTTAGGCAATCAACTATCTAAGTGAAAACAGCCAAGAACATTTATTCTCCAACAGAAATACAAATCCTTACCTGAGAATAAAAATTGATGGCAGTTTTAAAATCCTTGTCACGAAATGCAAAGTCCCCACGCTTCCTTGCCTCGAGTAAATCTCTCATTTGTTGCGTCCACTCTTGGAAAGATAACTGAACCAGACCACAACCACATAAACCCAAGAGCATAAAATTTGAAGTGAGTGCATGTACATACGCAAGAGCCCTCTTGTACAAGCAATTACCTCATTGGTTCCTTCATCATCCCGGTAGTGTGCCATAACCAATATTTCATGGATTGCTGTGAGGTCCCTCCGTGAGCAGGCATCACCTATTGGTGAAAGAGTCCGCTGAACGGTTGGAGGGGCTTCCTCATGCTTTGAAATCCCAAGCATGACATTTGAAGGAACCTGAAACCAGAATTACAGTGATCAGATCTTTAAAGCAGTATCTATGCCAATTACACATTGGCAAGCAGACATATATAAATATATATCAAATTTTCGAAAGTACAGTGATTATCACTGGGGAAATACAGCAATTACCTAGAAGTACTTGTATATGTTGATCTAATTACACAGCTCAGTACCAGTGAATCTAAGACCAAACAGATTGATCCCCACACAATATCTAGGTAAAATGGTTGAAAAGAAACTTTTTAACATAACACTGGCTATTGTATCTAATTAAATATATATATGTATATATATTTAAGGAATCAATCAAACATATATATAATTACGGAAGAAACAACAAAAAATTGATCTGATCTTTCACTAATCGCAGGATAATTCAGTACATGGTTGAAAATATCGTGGCTACATATTTTCCCTTCAGTGTTCAGAAATTTAAAAATAAAGAAGGAAAGAAGGAAAGAAACATCCACCCATACATAACATGTGCTCCATTGCTGAAATAATTTACAATGACTTGAACAACAAAAAACCAATACGATTAGTAAAGAAAGATTAGTGCCTGAGCAGTTTTGCTACTTCAATGACAATGCAAAAGCTAACTGCTCACATTCTTTACAAAGACCATATGAAAATAAGAAAACATATTAGCAATAATCTTGTATTAGGATAAAAAAAATAATTATTTGATAACAAATTTTCATGTGAATAGGAAATCAAGCATGAAGAGTTTTAAATCCCATAATACCACCAATACCAAATCTCTTTGTATGGCCATAGTCACCAGACAAGTCACAAACAATATGAAACGATCACATTCAGTTTATGTCAAAGGATACAATAGAAAGGCAATGAATTGCACCACGAACATTAAATCACAAAATGACAGGGCAAGAGGAGGAGGTGGAGGAAGGGGGGTGTTGTTGTGAAGAGTTAAGAGAGTCTTTCCCTTGACCATGGCTTCTGTTGGAAAGCTATTCTTTAACTCCTTCAGTTTACCCAATGTGTTGGCTTTTAGTAATATAAATAATTTAAATATTTTTGGTTTGAGAGTAACTATCCAGCTGATGAATCATCCACATAACAATGGGTTATATCATATAGGAAAGCCATACATTAGAGAATATGTGAGATTGTGATTCCAGAAGAGCAATGTTCCTTACATCAGATTTTGTTTGCAGTGGAGTAAGTGTCGCAACAAGGTCCTTCGTACTAGGCCGCTTTCTAGGTTCATGTTGCAAACATTGTGAGGCAAGACCAATAACTGCTGTTGTTGCTTCTGTAGAAAATTTTCCCTCCATATGTGAATCCATTAACTGAATAATGTTATTGTTGCGTATGATATCAAGGGCCTGCATACATGCAGAGTAAAAATAATTAATACTTGAAATTGTATCTTATTTCAAAGTAGACAAACTACAAAGAGATGTCATCATCACCATAGTCAGAGGTGTGCAACAACAAAAACATAGTTACCAAGAAACTCTCTTTGAGTGGGGAAATAAGCTTCTGATATGGGTATCATACTATTCTGAAAATTATGAGAAACATTTCACATAATTTTGGCAAAACCTATCCAACACGAGCTGGAAAATAAAGGCGAAACTTCTTTCTTTTCTTTTTTTAAACTAGTGAGACTACTCCAATCCACAAGTGATTCTCATTAGTTTCCTTATTTTTTATCCTTTTAGTTTCAATTAAGACTTATCAAAAAAACCTTTCAAAAAAAAAAAAAGTTTCAATTGAGCTTCCAATATGTTATGTTAAAGAATCCACGGAAGTATTCATATAGGTTTCAAGTAAGTTTTTTTAAAAGTTTCCTTTCCATTTTACAAAAGTTTCTTGCTAGTATTGCTATTACTAGGTTTCCTATTTGATTCATAATTGTTTCCCCACTTCTTGTTTCCTATAGATTTTTTGGCTGCATTTCTTGCTTCTGTTTCCCTATCATTTCCCATTTCTGCTTCTGATTCTGGTAAATTATTAACAAAAATTGAAAAATAAAAACTACAAGAAATTTTTTGTTCTGCATTCTGCTGCCTGTCATTTTATGTATTTTTATTTTAAATTAAGATCATAAGTGTAAAATAAGATTAATTAGAAGATTAATTCTTCTTCTTTTTCCCCCTTTAATGTTAGATAAATATTTCTATGGTCATATGCTCCCCAATTTAACAATAATGACAAAAATCCTGACAAGTACAAAAAAGGTTTTGAAGGCTTGATGAAAATTGCAAGGCCAATCCGAACAACAGGTTCTTCAAATGGGGTGGAAGCACCATAGGTTTAGTTTCCTCGGGAAGAGATTTCTCTAGGAAACCTTCAGCTACTGCTTGTACAACCAGTCAACCAACTACTCAATTTTCTCCTTTTCCCCTACTTTGGGTGTGTTTTGGATCAAGGATTTGCGGAGGGATTTGTGGAGGGAAAGGAAATAGAAAGGAAAAAAAATGAATGAAATATAATCTAAATTTTCTTTACTTTTCTCTACCTTCTTCATTTCCCTTTCTAAATCTCTCCTCAAATCCTTTAATCCAAACACAGCCTTGAGTGATCTCTCTATATGGCTGTATACATCAAATATACATTTTCCATATCACAATCAAATTAACATACTCAGTAGTCAGTACAACAAGGTACATCAAGCTTCCCACAATACCCAAAAGACAGTCTTTGACACAAGTTATATGCACACACAACGGTCTTAAAAGATATAAGCAACTCACATGGCTAGGAGGGATGTGATTTCCACTTAGTAGATCCAAAAGTACAGTGCCAAAGCTATATATAACACTTTCAGGGCTGATGCTTCCTACAATATTAGAAAATGTAATTCAGTAAGTACACGCCAGAACCACAGGAAGGAGATTAAACAGAGTATTGATAACAAAAGATAATTGTTTGAATCAAACCCGTAAAACAAAAGCGGCACACATGATTAACAATTGAATGTAGAGAAAAATCACCATTCCGTTGATATTCTGGAGGTGTGTAGGCAAGATTTGTGCTATAGCTTTTCCCATTGCTACTATTTTTCATTAAACCAAAACATGAAAGCCGTGGATCACCATCCTACAATGTCCATCTAACTATTAGATAATTAACGTCGCAAGAGTGATAATAAGGTTTAAAAATGTATTAGGAGATGATTTACAATACCTCATCAAAGAGAACCCTATAAGCATTCAGATCGTGGTACAATGGATGACCTTCAGAGCTGCAATAGTCTAAGGCTTCAGCAATATAAAGTGCTACTCTCAAACGCAGTGCCCACTCAATTGTCTGATTTTCCCCTGTTAGAAGATACGAATGCCCGATATTAATCTAACACAAATGAAAAGACATCCACTATTCTCAAGAGTACAAATGGACCACCAAACACTTTTCAAGGGTACAAATGCAACCAATTCTCATCGTAGAGTAATTAAGATCCACCAAACCACTTAAGACAAATAAATGTAAACCTACTAGAAGCATCAACCAATTTTGAACCGAACAAAAAAGTAACTTAAGTTGGAGATGCAAATGCACCCACATTACAGATCAAGATCCTCTCCATTACAGACAAAAACTAGTGATCTCCATTTACATGATCAATAAATTAATCTTTAAAATTCAAAACAGCTAAGAGATGTATTAAAACAGTAAATTTTGAATTTTGATGATGTGTTGCAATCCCATGCATTGGAATGAAGATCTCCATTAAAAGCTTTTAAAGAAGAGGATCTTAATCCCCACATTAGCACCCTTATCTCCATATATTTTCGTCTCTCATTGGACACACATGCCATCAACAATTACTTCATTTATGGGCAAGACAACCCAAATCAAATCAAATTTCGACATTCACTACAACAGCCTAGCTCAAAATATAGATAATATAGCAATCTAAGAACTAAATTAAATTATTGAAATCATTAATAAGCATTAGCATAGCATTAAAAAAAAAAAAAAAAGTACATACAGTGAAATAGATGCTTAGTAAGAGTATGGTTAGGCATGTACTCAGCAACAAGCAATCTCTGATCACCATCAGCGCAATAGCCAATCAAATTTGCAAGTCTTCGATGCCGCAACTTTCCAACACCCATAGCCTCTTCCTGAAAAAACTCATTAAAGTAATGTACTTTTAAAAATCGATTCAGAGAAAGAATGATTGAACAAATAAATAAATATAACAAAGATACCGCAAATTGCCTGGGATCAGGCCAGGCCAATTTCGTGAATTGCTTGACGGCGATCCACCGGCGGTTCTGTAGGCGGCCCTTGTAGACGATATTGGGTGCGTTTTCGCCACTTTCGGAGACGATGTAGTCTGTTCTGAAGTTGTTGGTGGCCGTTTTAAGGTCGGAGAAAGAGAACTCCGAGAAGGACAGAACTCCGCCGGCCGTCGTGGTGGGTCGGCTGAAGAGTGGTGGTGGGTTTGGTGTATGGTGGTGGTCCATGGCTTCTGGGTTTGTCTCTGCGGGCAACAACGATTGACAACAACCCATGTCTGAGTCACTGTCACAAAGTCTCAGACTAGTCGTTCCAGAGAGAGAAAAAACAAGTGTACTGAATTGAATGCAGTCTTCAATTGAATGGGGGGGTATATGCTTGTTTGTTCTTTTTCACTACTATCAGACTCTCTCTCTCTCTCTCTCTCTCTCTCTCTCTCTCTCTGATGAAATCAATATCTTCCTTCGTTCTCCTTCGCTTCAGTGTTCGACAGTTTGTTACAGTTTGAGGCTTTGTTTTGTATGTCCAACCTTTAAATTTTTTTTCATTAAGTTAAATTTAATTTACTAATAAAAATGTATTTCAAAATCCTCTCTCATCTTTTCATCAAATATTTATTAAATTAATAGAGAAATATTTTGAGGTAATTTATAATTTAATTCTTATAACAAAATAAATTCTAAATTTTTATTTTTATCAATTTAAATTTAAATATTTTGATTTGTTTTTAATCTAAATTTAAAATACTTTTTTTTTCAAAGGTCAGGTGTATATCCAATCTTTTTCTTCCCAAACACATATTAATGTGTGTTAATTAGGCGTGATTTTTTTAGTTTTACTTAACAAAATAAATAAATAGTTGAGATTGAAAACAAATTAAAGGATTGAGTTTTAAACTGACAAAATTAAAAATTTAGGATTTATTTTGTTACAAAGGTCAAACTTTGAAATTTTTTTTGTAATCGTCCCAATATTTTTTTTATCAAATTTGAATTTGATTAAAAATTTTAAAAATAAAACAATGAAAATGATTTTTTTTTTTCATTAAATTTGATGAAAATGAGATTTTGGAGTAAAAGCATAATTTCTACAAATACTTTAATGAAAATTTGATGAAAAAATTAGAATAATTCATATCACATCAAGTTTTCTTTATATTTAAATTTGATGAAAAAAATAATGAAAGATTGGAAATACTCAATCTTTTATCAAATTTAAATTTGATATAAAAAAAAAATTGGTGAAAATGACATTCAATCCACTCATCAAAATTATATCAAATCAAGTTTTCGTAAAACAAGAGATGAATTAAATCTTTGATTTATATTGTTGAAAAAATTTGATGAAAAAAAAAAGATAAAGGATTGGAGACACTTTAATGATAGGTAAAAATATAAGCTCACGTTTCATTTTTAAATTAAAACACTTATTATGATAATTTATAATTTTAAAAATGTCACTATCTTGTTTAATTAAAGTAGAATTTGATATAAAAAAAAAATTGGTGAAAATGACATTCAATCCACTCATCAAAATTATATCAAATCAAGTTTTCGTAAAACAAGAGATGAATTAAATCTTTGATTTATATTGTTGAAAAAATTTGATGAAAAAAAAAAAAAAAAGATAAAGGATTGGAGACACTTTAATGATAGGTAAAAAGGAAATGTTAGGGATCATGAAAATTTTGTCATGAAAATGATCATGAAAAATTTATGATCCTTAGATTACCTTGATTAGTGTGTGGTACTTTATTCTAAGTGTAATCCAAGGGTCAGAAAGCTTTCATGATTATTTTCATGACAAAATTTTCATGATACCTATCATTATTGTAGGTAAAAATATAAGCTCACGTTTCATTTTTAAATTAAAACACTTATTATGATAATTTATAATTTTAAAAATGTCACTATCTTATTTAATTAAAGTAGAATGTTTGTTAATTAATAGATAGATTGATGCCCCTATAGATTCGAGCTTATAATCCCATATTAACATCTTAGATTATTGATGCCCCTATAGATTCGAGCTTATAATCCCATATTAACATCTTAGATTATGTTTGATTCATAAATTTGAAGAGATATTTAAAAAGAAGAAAAAAAGTTGTGTGAATTAGAAAATATAATTATATTTTATTTATATTTCATTCATTTTTTCTTTTTTAAATCTTTATTTTAAATTCATTAAACAAATACAGCTTTAATATATTTTCAAAACTATTTAAACTACCGTTCGAATCTTTTAATATATATGGTTTAGTTGGTGTGGTTTTGTTTAGTATTATCTTTAAAAAATTCAATTTTTAAAGCGTCGAAGAATGACACAATAAATTTTTATATTGAGGTGATTTGGAGAGCTGTTTACGTAGGCATCCCGTTTTAGGAGAAATGTTAATAGAGAATCACGTAACATTATCTTCTATTAATTATAAATGTATATTTTTTTATTATTTTTTAAATATTTAAATAAATATAATAAATTTTATTATTAAAATTAATTATAATAATAAAATATATCACATAACATATACGCATATAAAATTACTCACGTTTTAGTGAATCATGGAGTTGGCGGCGGATTGACTCTATGTATTTCAATCAATTAAAAAATGTAAAAAATTATTGTAAAATAAATATTTTATTCAACTACACATAACACAATTTCAAGGCAGAATCACTAGTCAGTGGAAATTGGGAAAATTAATTACAGGACTGTAGGAATCTTTTAATGTTCTAGTAAAAAGTTACATTTCTAACTTGTTTGTTAAAAAAGTTTGGTTAGTTTTTTTTTTAGTAAAGAGTTATGGGGGATGCACCAATAAATCCCAAATTAATAACTTATGCACTGTTTAGTCCTAAAAGTTTTCTTATAGACTGAAAGGTCCCATTACATATAAATTTTCTATATTGAGTGGAGATAGTTTAATCATTTTATAGTGATGTAATATTATAAATAAATATTAATCAAAAAATTTTAAAATAATTTTTTATTAACTTCCCAAATCACTTTTCTAAAAAGCCAAACGTTTGATCAAAAATCAAAAATTAATTTTTAACCATCTCTCCAAGACAACCCTTAATAATTTCAATAAGCATGACAAGTAAATTTCTAATTTACAAACATATATTTCTTTTGTACTTTTTTTTTGTTTTTTTCCTCGTCACTTCTTTGATCTTGTACTCTCTCTCTCTCTCTCTCTCTCTCTCCCTCTCCTCTGGGAGACGCTCTCTCTCCTCTAGGACACGCTCTCTCTCTCCTTTTGACCTTCTCACATCATACATACATGAACTCTCTCTTTCTTTTCCTTTTTTTATTTTGTTTTATTTTAATAAACTCACTCTGTGTATAAATTTTAAAATATAACTCTCATTTTTATAAAATTAATAGTACTGAATAAATATCAATAATATCTTTAAAATAATATTAATATTAAATATATTTAATTAAAATTCTAAAATAAGTAAAAATATATTATTTTAGAATTTTTTTAATTAAAATGAAATGGATTGTTAACTAAAATTATAAAATGACTGATAAAATTAACTAAATTTCAACCAAATATTTATATTTCAACTTTAAAAATAGTTACAAAAATTAGTTGAAAAAATTAATCGCATAGTATAAAAATTTAAATTAATAATTCAAACTTTATAAAAATTTATATAATTAAAATGATTTGTAGATTTAAGTTAATATAAATAATATATTTTCTCAAAGTAATTTTTAAATGAAAATATTATTTTTATTTGCTAAGAGAAAACAGAGAGACTAAGCCTCCGTTTGGGAAGTAGGTTGGCTTTTTGTCTTTTTGGCTTTTTTGACTATTTAAGCCTGGGCTCAAAAGATTGGTTTGGGAAGAACTTTTTGACTTTTTGGTTTTTTTGATTTTTTTTGTGAGAGAATAGTGTAATGATTATGAGTTGGATGTGATGTTTTGTCTGTTGTGGCTCAAATAGCCTATTCTGTCTTTTGTGGCTCAAAGAGCCCAAATGAGCTCTTCCCAAACGACACCTAATAAAAATAATAATCATGTTAAGAATACCAAAACAACTATTAGAAAATCTATCAAACACTCGTATAGGTGCGAACTCCACACCTATACGAATGTTTAGTAATTTTTTTAGTAAAGCATTTAGTATCTCTAGTATTTTTGTAAAATTATACAATCAAAAAATATATATATATATTCAAACATGCAAAAATTAAATCAAATCCAATATAATAAAAATAATATTTAACCCATACAAATATTAATGCAAATCATACAAATAAAATACATATATATATATATATATTTAAACCATACAAATATTAACTCACATATTGGACTTGTACCCATCACAAATTAGACTTGCACTCCACACATATTAGACTTGCATTCAGGTACAGATTGAACTTACACCTCACCCAGACTAGATTTGCATCTCATACTAGGGGTGGGCAACGGTTTATCCGATCTGCAAAACCCGTCCCAATCCACATACAAATAGGCGGTTTCGTAGACACAATGCGGGCGGATACGGTTTGGAATATGGCATGTTTACGGGTTGTGAGTTTAACCCGCACCCGCAAAAACTCGCCCGTACTTTTTTTATTTTTATTATTTTTTTTAATTTTTAATCCTAACAATTGATTTCATTCATATGTCTTACCTAGATACTTTTGCTCAAAACAAAACATCTTTTATTCTTTGAACTTACTCTAGCATTACATTTACTAATAATATTATATCAACTGAAACTGAATAAATATTGATCATATTATTATTGTTCCATAACTGAACTTGTCCCGGATAAAGTGTGATTTGGAATTTTAAATTCCTTAATGAATATGTAGTTCTTGTTTAGGATTTTGAAATATGTGTTTGTATTAGTTTATGATTTGATTTAGGATTTTGAATGATTTGTTTGTATTACGAATTGATTTTGTTGTGTTTTTTATTTTATAAGTTTTAATTAATTAATTATTAATGTTGGAGCATTTTACAAAATGGAGGGAAAATGGCCCAAAATAAATATTTACAAAATGGGAAGAAAAAAAAAAAGGCTCAAAAATAAATTTTTGAAGAAAATAGTCTAATCTGCAACCGCCCCAACCGCCCCGCACATCCGCGAACCCTATTCACATAAACCACAAACGCACTGCAGGCGGTTACGAGTTGACTTTTTCCCAAACCGCATAGATGCAAGCAGGTCCAAACCGATCTGCAAACCGTCTAAATCTGATACACGAACACCCCTACCTCATACAGACTAGAATTACACCATATATGCATTCAACTTGCACCCCACACATACTAAACTTGCACTCGAGCACAAATTGTGGGGCTGCAAGTCCACTTTGTATAGGGTGCAAATCTAATCTATGTGATGGTACAAGTTCAATATGTGTAGAGTAGTAGTTGAATGTATGTAGGGTACAATTCTAATATGTTTGGACTGCAAGTTCAGTCTATGTGCGATGCAAGTCAAATATATGTGGGAGTGCAAGTCTAATCC